GGCACATGATTGTGTTCCTATATTCAATTTTAAGTTCATACTGCATTAACGTGTACTGACTTCAAAGGGTTTAAAAAGAGTTTTTCTCCCTCCCCCATCTTATAGACCTCAGTTTCTACTGATAAAAATAACCAAAGTGGGGGCTGGAGAGATGGCTCAGCAGTTAAGAGCACTGGTTGTTCTTGCAGAAGACCAGGGCTTGAATCCCAGCACCCACATGGCAGCTAACAACTGCCCGTAACTCCAGTTCCAGGGGATCCAACAGCCTCTTCTGTCCTCGGCAGGCATTGCATGACATGGGTGCACTTACCTACATGCAGGCAATATATGCATACACATAAAATAAAAATAATAAATAAAAAATAAATAAAGTGATCAATTTCAGGTATACTATTTCATTTATTCTACAAATAAATATGTATTTCTTTTCCTCATTTCTAAAGAAAGTACATACTATTTTGTATCAACTTTTCATTTGAGACTTTTCCATATTCCACAGCAAACTGTCCTTTTGATATAGTATTCCATCATGTGGATACATGCAGGTTTTTCAGCATGATCTCTGTAGACTTTTTATTTATTGCTGATATTGTTACAGGCACTGGAGGCCCATTAAAGGAAAGCTACTTCCCAAAAGAATGGAATCTACTTTTGAGTGGAGACATGCATCACTGTCTCCTCCCCCAAGAGTTAATCCAGTTGGGCCTGTAATTCACCTTGTCTAGTGACACCCCCTGGGAAGGTTGATTGGCCTTATGTAATGCTAAAGAGATGAAATGAATAATTATCCCCCCCCCTTTATTTTGGTCCTTTTGAGACAGGGCCTCCCTATAGCCCCAGCTGGCCTTGAACTTACTATATAGACCAGGTTAGCCTTGAACTCACAGAGATCCACCTGCCTCCGCCTCCTGAGTGCTGGGATTGAAGGTGTGTGCCACCACGCCTGGCTTATTCCCTTAATGAGATAATGTATTTCTCCTCCCCAAATTCCTGCTCTCTGTGCGGCCAAGCTGCAGCCATATAACTGGGAAATCTGCCCAATTTCCTGTGACCTTATTCAGAAAAGTGTAACCTTTGCTTTTTCTTCTTTTTATCTCTTTTTTCCCCCTTCTTTCAGATACTTGTCAGAGCCTGGGTATGCTTTCCCAGACACCCTGAGTTTGTGAAGTTACAACCCCTCCTGCAGGGGCATGGGCACTGTCTTTTAAACGCTAATAAAAATTTTCTTGAGCTTTTTTCTGAACGCTATGTTAAATTCTTTCATTAATGAACCTGGAGAAGGAACCCCAAATTCCCCAGTAACAATATTTTGCTATTGAAAATGTACAGCAGAAAAATTAAGCTTGTACATGCAACATTGTGTACCAGGTAAAAAGATAATTGTTCATAGAACTAGAGTTAATAAATCAAAGAATGTTCACTTGTGTTGCAGTCTTCCTGCTTTCCCTTCCCTGTGCTGAGACGGCAGGTTTGCCAACCTCTGCTGCTTTTTAGAAATTGTGTGTACTAATTTCCATCCTATGTATCAATGATACATACTTTACTGTACTGCTTTTCCACGATTCCACCACTTCAGAGTTGACAAACTTTGATTTTGCCAGACTAACACATTTGCATTTCATTTCTCTTGTTAGGAAATAAGAGTGAATATCTGTTCTGAGTCACGTAAGGTTTCCTTTCCCTTGAGCTCTGTTTTTCCGTTTGTTCTACAACATTGTTGATCTTGTTTGATTGTATCCATGAGCTATTTTTGTTTTGTGGAAATTGCCTTTATTATATAAATTTGAAATTTTTTCCCAGTTTTTCATTTGACTTTTGATTTTTCCTTCAGTAGTTTTTGCTATGAAGAAATAATTATCATTATTCCGGCAAACCTATTACTATGTGTTCTGTTTTCTGAGTTAAACATGAGGCCTAGCCCTCCCCCACTAGTACGTTTATCACATTGTTTGCTTTGAATTAAGGTAAAAACTGTAACTTGAGCCTTATACTATTTTCTTTTTTTCTGATGGTCTTAGACTGACTTTGAATTTTGAAATTTTGAAATTTCGTAGTTTAGGTACTGAGATTGTAGCTCATCAGTAACACAGTTGCCTAGTAGGCATGGGGCCCTGGGTTTGAGTCTCAGCACTGAAAATAAAGTTATGGTCTATGCTGTGATATAAAGCTAGATTTTACTGATGAGGCCATTTCTAAGTTAGTTCTCTTAATTGCTATAGGAATTCTTCATTTTTGTCTCACCAGGAAATAATTACTCACGACATCTTGTGCGTTTTTAAGCCTGCAGGCAGCTGTTTATTATGCAGCAGGGACCCACTCCTCCTTTCCCTTAACTGATTCACTCCCAGCTTGCTGCTTATTGCAAAACACCACCATGTCTCCTTATAAGCAAAGTGCCACTGGAAAACTTCTAAGAAAACAATGTAACAATATTGAAGTTGGCTTGCAATTTTATATGCAGGCAGTTTGAAAACCCATACAGTTTTAAACTAACAATTTTAAATATTATTTGTACTTTTAATGTAGTTCTTATTTTTAAATAGCGTGAGCTTTATAATTTTATTACCTTTTTAAAAACAGAGTGGATATTTTGTAAGATTTGGGAGTGTATCGTGGACTCCATGCTTGAATCCTAGTTAAGCTACCTAATTAGAGATTGAGTTGCTTGTGGTTTTTCATAAATTGGGAGGGAAGCCCACTTTCTGGGAGAAGAGTTATTTAATATTTTACATAGCAGAAGCCTTCATTGGGGAACACAGAATGCGACATATCTGTGTAAATATTTCAGTTGCACCTCTAAAGTTACTCAGTTTTAAATATCATTGAAAGTTTTATCAGTTGTAGCATCTGGGATTTGTGAAATGAAAGAATTATTAGTGAGATTATCAAGACATATTTTAAGATTTATAAAGGCTTTTAATTTGGAATTCTTGGAAAGAAAATAGTATTCGTATTGCAATATGTAGCTGTGAATATTCCCTCATATTTCACTTTTCCTAACAAAAATAAAGCTACCAACCATGAGTGAACACATCTTAATAACAAGGAAATTTAATAAAATCACAACTTGTAAACTTTTTTTTTTTTTAATTGCATTAACTTAGTCATTTGGGAGATTGGGGGAGGGACATGCATGTGAAGGTCAGAGTTATGGAGTCAGTTCTTTTCTTCCACCTATGGGTCCCAGGGATCAAACTCAGGTCCTCGTGGGCCCTTACCCACTGAACCACCTCACCAGCTCCAATAATAAAGTATTCTTAATAAATGATAACATTTATACTGTTTCTATCTACCCATTTACAAGACATTTACAAGTTCTTGGCTCTTCTATCTTTAACACCAAACCAATACTATTACTACTGTCCTAGTCTGTTTCTCCATTGCTGTGACAAAACACTCTGACCACTACCAACTTGGGGAGGAAAGGGTTGTCACAGTTCATCCGGGAGCCCAAGGTGGGAACTCAGGGCAGAAATCTGGAGTCAGGAGCTAGAGCGCAGGCCATGGACGATCACTGCTTACTGGCTTGCTCCCCTGGCCCCAGCTCAGCCTGCTTTCTTATGCAACACAGGCCCACCTGCCCAGGGGTGGCACCACCCACAGTGGGCTGGGCCCTCCCACATCAGTCATCAAGAAGATGCCCCTCAGACATGGCCACAGGCCAGTTCAATGGAGGCAATTTCCCAATTGAGGCTCCCTCAACCCAGGTGAATCAAGTTGACACTAAAGCTATCCAGCACAACTAATAATAATAATAATAAATTTTAGAATTCTCAACTGTAACCACTAGTACAGAAGTCTTAAATTTAGATAATTAATAGACCAAACAATGACATTTAATAAAGAAAGCTATATCATTATATAAGCATTTTAACTTTACTTTGCTGATTTGGGGGAGAAATGGGTTTCACGAAGACACCGGATACGTGATACATTCTGTTCTGATCTCTTCATTGATTTTTCTTTCTTTCTTTTTTTTTTTTTTTTTTTTTTTTTTTGAGCTTTTGGTTTTAAAATGTGAAAGAAAATCCTGACACTCGACACACTGGCACTGATTACCAATCTGTCACTCTGTAACTCAAAATTAAATTACGATTAAAAACTTTCTAGATTATAATTGTTTATTTCTTAGAGACATTGATTTTTCCTTAGTGAATTCTGAAACTTTCTTCTCTTGTACATAAAAATAGCTCTTGTGTATATTTTCACTATACATTTCAAGGATATTTTTAAGCATTTTGACATTCCCAAGTAAATAGTCCTTCTTTTTCATTTGAATGTTTTTGTTGTTGTTTGTTGTAGGGTTTTGTTTCTTTGATTTTGTTTTTTGTTTTGAGACAGTGTCACCCTGTAGCCCCAACTGTCCTGGAACTCACTATGTAGACCAGGCTGGCCTCAATCTCACAGAGATTCACCTGCCTCTGCCTCCCACGTGCTGGGATTAAAGGCTTGTGCCACCACACCCGGCTGTCATTTGAATTTCTTAAATGCATGGTCGTGAGATTAATGAGAGCTACATTTAAAAACTAACACAGATTCTGTTTGTTTCAATTGAAGTACATAATTCATTTGCTGTTGTAAAGAGAGCCAACCACAATACAAATTCCATACACTTTCTTGATTCTCTTCCTGTGTATATAGAACAAATGTGGTGTGCTCGTAAATATTTGTTCATATATTTACAAATGTTAATAGAATATGTAAATAGTTTATTGCTCACATTTTTATATTTCATATAGTCATTTATATTTGTCACTTTGGATTTCTTATATGGCCAAGTTACAAACATTTTTAAATAACTCCATAATACTCAGAATCTTCAAAAAATACACTTTATGGTAGTCGTGAAATCTGCGATGTTTTATTTAGAAATTCAGGCAAAATTTTATTGAATTCACTGAAAGTGTGCAGGCCTCATGATTTACCTTGAAAATTAGTTAGAAATAAATGAGTAGGTGTATTTAAATGAACCAATTTTGCTTTATTTTTTTCTTCTTTAGGCAGAGTTCACAGTTTGGAGATGAAAAAACATTTAATGATTCATCATTGCTGGAAAATCTCCAAAATAATCATGTAAGTAATGTAAAGGCCTTAATACAAATGACAGAATATATGAACTCCAGTGGGGGAGGGGCTATGGGATGGTGCCAAAGGGGAAGGGGGAAGGGAGTATAAAGATGATTTCTTGTATGAAATACACAAAAATTTAATTAAAAAATTTAAAAGAAGAAATAGATGTAATAAACCCCCCAAAAATCTTCATATGGCACTTTTGTTGCAATAAATCAACCAGGATTGATATGAGAAAGAAAGGAAGAAAGAAAGAGAGAGAGAGAGAGAGAGAGAGAGAGAGAGAGAAGGAAGGAAGGAAGGAAGGAAGCCAGCCACTGATTTTGACATGTTGACTTTGTATCCTGATACTTTGCTGAAAGTGTTGATGCATTCTAAGAGTTATCTAATGGAGTCTGGATGGTCTCATATAGAGGATTGTGTCATCTACAAATAGGGATCATTGGACTTTTCTCTTTTCCTATTTGTAAACCTTTTATTTCTTTCTGCTATTTTTGTAGCTGAAACTTTAACCACTGTATTGAATAAGAGTGGAAAAAGTTCATACCCGTATGCTGTTCCTGATCTTAGTGGCTGTGCTTTGGGTTACCCCCTATGGAGTAGAATAGCAGCTGTAGAGTTGTATGTCGCCTTTGTTAGGATGAACCATGTCCCTTCTCTTCCTACTGTGGCCTGAGCATAGAAAAAGTGAAATAAAAGTAAATAAAAAGTGTTATGTCATCAGTCAAAAATCTCTTCCTTGCTTATAGCAGTAGAGAATGTCTCTCCTCTCTCTGACGTACATTATGGATTTAACTCTGCTGTGACAGAGAAAGTCACCTGCCCTTCTTAGGACTGTCTTCTGGGCTATATCCTAAGTGTCTGGTGAAATTAATTTTACCTACATTTCCCCTATTTGGACCACAGCCCCTACCTGCATTACTGCTGCAGCCTCCTGCCAATCTCCTGGTTGACAACTTTAGTCCTCTCTGAACGTCATTGCACATAATACACAATACAGACCTCTGGAATAAAGTCTGATCACATCTGGTGCAGGAACTCTCTGGCTTTTCCCTTCACTCACCGGGTTTCCTGATCTGGCCCCCGCCTATGTCGCCACTCTGCCTTGAGGCACTTTTCCTTCCTCCAGAGGCCACCTTCACCTCTCTCACGTTCTTGAATGCTCCCTCTTTCCTCTGTTAGGACCTTGCTAGTTCTACACCATTCTTCCTGGTGGAACTCTCTGTACTCATTTCTTCATGGGGTTAAGACCCGGTCCATGTAACTATCTCCACATCTTATGAATAATCACTACCTCCCAAGTCACTTCACATGATATCTGCACACCCTCTGTGCAGTCTTTAACATGCGGCAAATAAATAATGCTGTGTATTTATGTCTTCTCTGTCTCCCTATAAGTCTGAGCTGAGTATCTGGGACCGTGCATGCCTTGTCCATTCCTTTAGACCAAGCAGTTTTCTTATACAACAATATGGTTTAACCTTTTCAGTTAGTTCATTTTGTGAGTTTTTTGTTTGTGTGTGTTTGTTTTTGTTTTCTTTTTTGCCCCAAGAGCATAGACATTTTTTTCTTTCTTAATTAATTTGAATGACATTTCTCATCAGAAGCAAGACAGGAAGATGTTTAATCTTTACTGTAGGGGTTTTGTTTGTTTTGTCCGATCAAATCTGAGGTCCTTACAGAAAGGATTCACTTTTCAGTGTTCCTCAGGCTTTAATAGTCCATTGTACATAGGAGTTGGTTGGTGCTGGTTCGTTTGTTTATGTAACTCAACATAAATCAGGTTATAGTTGCTGTTTTTAGAGCGAGGGATGCCAGAGCACTACAGAGAAATACACACGTCATCATCCCAACCCAAAGTAAGATTAGATGCCTGAAATTTAAATCCGTTAGAAATTACAACCAAGCAAATGAACATTCTGGAAGTTCTTTCCTCTCCACCAAGGACAGAATTCATCTTTTTCCACTACTTGTACTCAAGAGCACAGAGTTGTCTTAAATAAATGTTTATAGAATGAGTGAGAAGTGCAGGAATGAATGAGTTGAGTTCAGAATAGATTTCCTTCATAATCGATGTTGGCTGTAATCCCACACCCCCTAGTGTTTCCCAGCTGTACTCTTAATAAACAGACGTGAAGTAACATGACTGCCATTAGTATCCAAACGTTTAAACAAAAAGAGCTAAATTATGTGTTTATTCCTCATAGCCAACCGCACCTATCATTTGTGAGTTTCTTACAATGATGGCGATCTGCCACACAGCTGTACCAGAGAGGGAAGGTGAGAAGATCATCTATCAAGCTGCGTCTCCAGGTAAAAGTGGAAACAACTGCAGAGTTTTTACTGTGAAAATTATTCTGAGATTTGGTACTATGGATCTCAAAAATTCCATTGAACTTGAAAAAAGAACATAACCAAATCATTATTTTAGATACAAAGTTTTTATTTCCCAATAAGTAAAACCTTGGCTTTGGGGGATTAACTATATATGTATGTGAAAATATACCTCTTTGTATATGTGATTTTTGTAACAGCATAAATTATATGGAAAGCTGAATAATAAAATGCACACAAGGGAATAAAAGCATTTTGTATGCATGTAATTGTTCCCTTTATAAATAGGAACAAACTTAGTCAAAATGAATTGTGTACATATGCGTACAGGAAAAAGTGAGCTCTATTTGCCAAAAAAGAGTGATATGCATGCTTTTAGAATACCACTTTTGTTTTTCACTTTAGAAAATGGTAAGGCACTTGATTTATATTTACTTGAGTGAGAAGAATTTATACATTTCAAGAAATTCCATAAAACATTTGTTAGTAGAATTATTACTGTCTAGGCTTAAGCTTGGCATGGTGGGACACAGCTTTTTAATCCCTTCACTTGGAGGCAGATATGGGTAGATTTCAATAAGTTTGGGGCCAACCTGGACTTTGTAGTAAGTTTGGCCAGTCAGGACAACATAGTAAGACCCTGTCTCAAAAAAAAGAAAGAAAGAAAGAAAGAAAGAAAGAAAGAATTAAAAAAAGAAAAAGATGTGCTGAAACCACTCAAAGAAAGAAAGAAAGAAAGAAAGAAAGAAAAATGAAAAGTCTAGGCTTAATTGCAAAATAAATAAAATTAGGTAAGTAATCCACTAGTTAAAAGTTTTTAAGAAAAAGGTATACATTGTGTTTTAAAACCGTATTCTAAACTAATTCTTTAAAAAAATAATTCTTATGACATAAAATATATCAAGTTCTTTAGTAGGAGTAAGAAATATTGTTCCTTCTTATAGTTAGAATCTAAATTATTTGATTATTTTCTTATCCACTCCCTCCCTCAGCATGAAAAGGCACGTGTGCACACACATGTGTATGTGTGTCTGTGTGTTAGTGTGTGTTTCTGTGTATGCCTATGTGTTTGTACCTGTGTGTTTGTGTATATATCTGTGTGTATGTATGTATGTATATCTGTGTGTGCCTTTGTGTTTGTGAGTGTGTGTGTGTGTCTATGTGTCTATGCTACATGTGTGGCAGAGGAGGGCATCCGATCCCCTAGAGCTGAGTTGTAGGCAGTTGTGAGCTGAGTGCTGAGAGCTGAAGTTGGGTCCTCTGCAAAAGCAGTACTTGCTCTTAACTGCTGAGCCATCTCTCCAGGCAGTGAAAGGTTTTATAACACAGTGAAGAACGTAGGTAACATAAAAGAAAGCATGCATTCACTTTAATTGGTTCAAATCCCCAGCCAATAGAATCAACTTTTCTACATTCAGCTTTTTAGGAGGAAAAGGATAAAACTTGAAAAGCCTTTGTGCCATTCATTTGTAGGAAGGTCCTTGGGAGAATAAATTGGACTAAGGGTTGTTGTTTTCAGTACATATAGCTAACAGTAAGACTTGGTGTCCAGGAACACAGAGCTGGAGGCTGTTCTCTTCAAGCCTCTGGAATCATCACGTACATTTAAAGGAAATGGCTTTCAGTAGCAGTATGAAATGAACTTGAATTAAATAGAAAATTGTATTATGCCAGCATGTTTCTGTTGTATTTTCAGTAACTTTTTCTGTACTGTGTGTCTTTCATCTATCCCCTGACACAGATGAGGGAGCCCTGGTCAGAGCGGCCAAGCAGCTGAATTTTGTTTTCACTGGAAGGACACCTGACTCAGTCATCATAGATTCAGTAGGTCACTCAACATTTTAAAGGTGTTTTCAACTTAAGCGATGCATATGCACAACTACAAAGATAAGGCAATAAGAAAAGATTTCAGTAAAATAGAAGCTCCCCACACCGGAAGCAACTGCTTGCTATTCTCATGTCTATTTCTTTAACCATTGATACATTTCAAACTTTAAACAAATGTAATGCTGATGGTCTAGTTGGTAGTCTATACTGATTCTTCAAAAATGGAAGTATCTGCTGATTTTCCATTCTGCTAAATGAGGATGTATCGCTCTTGAATCATCTTCCCACTTGTTTTCCCTTCTCCATAGTCCACCATGTTTATAATTATTACAGTTTTATTATGAACTACTCAGAATGATGGTGGCATAGGCCTGTTATCTGGCACTTGGGAGGTGGAGGCAAGAGGATCAAGATTTCAAGGATACAGTGAGCTTAAAGGCAGCTTGGGCTACATGAAATCTGTCTTTTTGAAAAAATAATAATAATTATTCAGCCAATTTTTTAAGTGGGTAGTTTTTTGCTATTTTATTTTTTTTTATTTTATGTGTAGGAATGTATTGCCTTCATGTATGTAAGTGCACCTGAGTTGTGCAATGCCCCCAGAGATAAGAAGAGGACATATAATTCCCCTGGAACTGTAGTTATAGATGGTTGTTAGCCACCATGTGGGTGCTGAGAATCAAACCTGGGTCCTCTGCAAGAGCAACCAGTGCTCTTAACCACTGAGCCATCTCTCCAGCCCCTTAAGTGGGTAGTTTTGAACAGATGTGTCACAACAGGTGATCTCTGAAGGACCGCGGGAAAATCCCAGGTTAGACATCAAGGAAATGCAAAGCCACAAAGCACTACTACCTACTATGTACCCACCATGAAGGCCAAAGGAAAACTATTGACAGTAACAAATGTAAAAGTTTTGTTAAGAATTTTCCAATAAAGGTAAATTTACCCCGATGCAGCAATTATGCTTAGTTCTCAGTGACACAGGAGAAGTGAAAGTTTGCATCCACTAAGACTTGTAATGGCATATTCAATACAGTACCTTTGGATCTGATGGCCTCTTCTGTCCTCTGAGGGCATTGCACAACACGGGTGCACATAACTACATGCAGGCAGTACACTCATACACATAAAATAAAAATAATAAATAAAA